CCTGCTCCGCCCCCTCTCTCCCTGCCTCCTCCTGTCCCTCCCTGTTCCTCCTTCTGTCCCTCCCTCCCTGCTCCTCCCTCCTCCTGTCCCTCCCTGTTCCTCCTCTCCCCCCCCCCCTTTTTTTTTTTACATCAGCAAGTCTGTTCCCAGGGGTCCTGCAGCAGAAGAGGAGCAGGGTGGGGTGGGTGTGGGTGCTGGGGGGCAGGGCTGGTGTGTGAATGGGGGTGCGAGCTAGGGTTTGGGGTGTGGTTGGGGGGGAGTGGAGCATGGACTTGCGAAAGTGAGAAGTTCCCTTCCTGAACCCTTTCCTTTGCAAAAGGGTCGGACGGGAGGGCCGGTACCTGTAGTACTCCGCTTCTGCCTGCCTTGTATAAAACAAAATGTACATTCTTTTCATAACATTTTGAACAATGTTTATAATAATTCAATTTAAAAAAGAAAACAGTGTGATTGCAATTTTTACAGAGTCTAGTAGTGAACCAGTGCTGAAGTGAGGGGTTGTGTCTGTATGAAGAATAAAGCAAAAAATTATATATATATATACAGGTGATGCATAATACTGGACTAGAATGCGTGAAAAAGGATAGGTGTTTGGCAGGGGGGGTAGGGAGGGGGACTGAAAAGAGAATTTCTAAATGTTAATCATGTTGTATATTTTCCTTGTAACGTTTGCGGTCGACCCACGTACAGCCGAATCTGTAAATACGAGAAACTCCTGCTCCCTTGCAGATGCAGATGCCGATGCCAGAGCGGGCTCATTCCCGTCAGGGAACTGGGGGGCTCCCACCCGGGACCTGGCGAGACCCCCTCCCCTCCTGTCTTTTCGAATCAGAGAGGCCTGGCACAGTCGCCCCCCCCCCCAATTAATTTGAACCACCCTCCTCCCCCCTCCGAAGGACCCCCCGTTTTCTTGTTTTAGTAACAGCTGAAGTAATCATGCAGAGTGAAGTACAGTGGGTCTCAAAATCAAATGGTGATGACTTCTATTAGCAACTTCTGTTATTCTCCACAACTCTTGCTGCTAATTGTTTGTGAAGACTAGAACATCTCTAACCTGTCGGCACTCATGAATACTATTTTTTTTATAGTTTTTTTTCATTTTTTTTTTTTTATTTTGTTCCCTGATGTGAATGCGTCCTTGGCGACTGTGTGATGGGTCCATTGAGTGATCAGGTAGCTGGTTGACCTGTTTGGATGTCTGCTGCATATAGTGTAAGCATTGTGACTGCAAATAAACGTCAATGGTTTATACTGAAATGACATTTCTGTGTACGTATTGGTTAGAGTACATACAGGAATATCAGCAGCGGGCCTCCTGAACTTTAGAAAACAGGCTTCTACATGTGAAACGCATTTCTTTTTTTTTTTATTCCATTTCATCAGCCCCTTGCAGTGTAGAACTGGAACTAGACTGGAACAAGCTGTCCAGCCGTGTTGTTGAAGCCCAAGAGCCTGGCTGCTCAATGGGCTAGTAGCAACAAACTTTCTTCATTCAAAGGGCGGAGGGAGTAGAGAACAGGCCGCCCAGCCTTGTTGTTGAGGCCGGTAGGTGGGCTTCTTTCAGGAAACAGCTGGAGGCATCCGCCGATCAGTAAGCTACTAGAAACCAAACGGGCCAGATGTGTTAAATGGCCTCCTTCTCTTCTGTTCCTGTGCAGCATAGTATAGTCCATCTGAGAGCAGACTGCCAGTTAAGATGTAGTAAACCCCCAGGACGAGTATTGTCCACCTGGGCGGACCAATTAAGAATTGCACGCACTGAACAAAATGCCATTTTAGACCAGGTTCGGAGGCCACTGTGAACGCCGCCCCCGTTTTCTCTGTGGCTCTCCGAGCGGTTTTGAGGCAAACCCCTTGTACGCGTTTGCGTTCATTCTCGCTCTCTGAAGCGCGAGCAGCACGTCGGCCTGCTTGGTCACGAAACCAGCGCAGCCATGTGAACGGGCGGACACGTTCCTTACCGAGGCACAGTCGGCTGCTGCTTCTGGGTTGGGCCGAGTCTTCACTAGTCCCTTTTGAAGTCAGAATTTCATTTGTCAGGGGTTTTTTTAAGTCTATCGGCAGAACACTTTTTTTTTTGCCTTCTTACAAAGTCAGATACCGTAGAGACCTGTGATGTTAAGTACGTCACAGCTGGGTACAGTAATAGACCCCCATGTCGCAGGCTGGCAAGCTCTTGCGAAATGCCACTGCGAAATATATGCCACTGTGGAAATGCCACTTGCGAAATATAGATTCTCTGTACAAATACAGCCCACAGGTGTCGAACAGCCCACAGTTTTTATTATTTCTTGTGTAAAAGACTGTTTTTGAATCTGACCTGTACCAATGACCAGGCTGAAGGACAGGCTGACTTCCTTGCATCCATCCATGAAAAAAACGGTCTCATCGCTTCCAGACTCCCATCAGCATGACTGTCTGGGCGAGGAAGCCGGCCTTCGTCACGCAGCACCAAAACCAGCGACTGACACTGGGACTTGTACAACACCATCATCATCATTCAGCTTGTGTGAGACTGTCATCCTGGTGGACGAGGACTGACAAGAGACAACTCATGAAGGGTGTGGATGAAACCCCGAGACTCGCACTGGGGCTCCTGAAGTGCTACTTTTGTTGCAATACTGGACACAATTTTAATTTTTTTTTCAGAGGATAAAGAACTACAGGCATGTTTAAATATAAAATCGCAGCCCCTCCATTATCAGTCATTAACTGCACAACCACTCATTACAGGCGGATGGGTTTATTGTTCACTGGAGACTATCTGTGTCCAATGCTGCATTTTGGGGCAGTTGAGCTTCATTAATTAAGCAACTTGTGTAGTTCAATTAAGGCTTTAATTGATTGCTGTATTTACAAGGTTACTTTCTCCTCCAGTTTTGGGAACTTGTTTTACAATAGTTAAAGAGAAAAGGCAACACAGTTCAATGTAACTGTAATACGAAGTCAATCAATGGTTCAGCTGAGAGCCCAGGTCTACTCTACAACAACCCCATCTGACATTTGTAAATTCGGCCGCAGACCTTAACATTGAATACAATAGTGTGGGATGTCCTCTCCCTCAACAACAACAAATTAACATGGTTACCTTCAATAAAATAACATCCTCCCCCCATTTATCAGCTATGAAATCACAAATACGTTAGATGATTTTTAAATGGAAATATTACAGCACCCTTTAGAGTTATGGATGGAACTGAAACAACAGCCAATGTTTCCTTCGTCTCTTGAGTGAAATCTTAAAGGGAAGGAAAACTGAGAGTGGCACTTCTACCATAGTGGGGCCAACAGCCCTGTCTCACGAACACAGAATCGCTGACGAGTGGCAGGTGACGCCCCAAAACACCCAAAGCTCGGGGTCCAAAGTGATCGTCGCCAACTACAGTAGTGTTCATGTATTATTGGTGCTGTCAATAACCCTCGATGTTCTCTGACGCTTAACAGTAAGAACCTTACTGTTGAATAGAGGACTTCATGTAGGAAAAACTGGACAGAACTTTAACCAGCAACAAAAAAAAAAATTGACTGACATGAAATGAGAACCATGTCCAGATGGGGATCTGTGCATTTGACCATTTGACTGCCTCAACTCTTTTTAACGTGGAAAGAAACGTCAAGTCTTTTCCCTTTTAAGTCTTGTGTAAGCTAGTCAAGAGTCCGAACCGGATTCCAAAAATGAAGAAGGCAGCGCATCTGCGCTCGTGAGGAAGTCCTTTTCGGATGGAGGGGCACCTCAGAAGATCAGCTCTGCTCCTGGCGCTCGCCCGCGGCCCTCGACTTGCTCTTGGTGCTGGCCTCAAACACAGCGTTGTTGCAGCCCTCCCTGTTCCTTGCAATTTCAATGGCAAAAAACTGGATCCTTGTAGCTGGGGGGGGGAAAGGATTCCTTACAAAACGAGCCTTTTCTGAACAAAGTTGGTAAGCAATAAGGCAAAGAGCCCAGCCACGTTACTGAAACCAATAACCTTTGTTTCCCCCCCCCCCCCAAGACAGATGGATGAGATCCTCCAATCAGTACAGGAGGCACTACAGTACACAATGGGTGGTAGGGGTGTGTAACAAGCTCCACGGCCATGTTGTTGAAGCCAATATCCTGGCTTCTTTTAGGAAAGGACCACATGAGATCCTAAGATCAATCACATACAAGCTAGATTGGTTGAATGGTCATTATGTTCTTATAACTCTCCATCTGTGGCCAAGGCTCTTTTCCTAAACCACTTCTTTTGCAGAGAATGAAAAACATATGGGCTAGGACAGTGAACCCATTCCTGAATGCATTATTGGCAAATGCGTAGAATTATTATTTTTTCTTTATCAGTTATAGTACAGCATCAGTATGAGCTGAAACAAGTCTGAGCGGCGCAAAGCTTTCGTCTAGCTCAACAGGCTTACCAAAAATTGTGTTCTCCTCGGTATAGTCTCTCTCACAATCGAGGCGCAGCAGAGTGCCGTAGTTGAAGTCTTCAACAACACCTTCAAACAGATTGCAGAAAGGCCTCCATTTCTAGAACCAAAACATAAATGATCACGTTTGGGTTTTTTTTTTTGCTGTCCAGCTCCCCTATGTGCCATTCTACGAGTAACTGTTTCACAGACTGATGATAAAAGCTCGAAAGCAGTCCATCACCTCCTTAGCCTGCTCCGATTTGAGATCTTCAGGGTCCAGAACTTTAATATTCAGATCAGGAAAGGCCTTCCTGAATTCTGTGCAGATCTTGTCATCCACTTTTGTAAGCTTCAAGAACTTAGGATCTACGGAGGAGATGAGCTGTCAAGAGAGAAAAGAGAAGCCAGTGTCGACAAATACCTGGCATGCTTCTTTGAAACCAGCGGCTAAAAGTGATCACTTTCTTCCTTTTGCCGATACAGTATCCCTCCCTTAAACAACAGCAAAACATTATCGGGCAGTTTTTTCACAATAGTACAGGTGTCATCCCCTGGGATGAGCATCTGAGTTAGGCCCTGCATGATGAACAATGCCAAGCTACACCAGATTACTGCAGCCTTTGTGTCTGTTTAGATTAATGCCATCATTCTGAGATCTTGGGAGAGATGTTACCTTGACTAATTTAACTGCTTCATATGACATTTCCACTGCACTATCAGCTACAGCAGACATACAAATAAAAATTGCTCTGAACGTAACTTACATTGAAGTAGATTTCAGCATGCTGATAGGCCTTCATCGCCCACATCATCTCCAGTTGAGGCTAAAAATAATAAATAATTTCAGAAAACCCATTTAACAAGTTTACCCTCCCTAAACAATTCATGAAATTGTGTCTGAAGCACTTGCCTTTGCACAGAACAGCAAACATTGTGTTGTATAAAAGACAAAAGTGGGACCTGTTAACCTGAACAGTAGTGTTCCACTAGCTGTTTGGTCTTTATCTCTAGCCTGTTTAAGACATAATAATAATAATTACTTACACTTATATAGCGCTTTTCTGGACACTCCACTCAAAGCGCTTTACAGGTAATAGGGATCCCCTCCACCACCACCAATGTGACGCCCCACCTGGATGATGCGACGGCAGCCATAGTGCGCCAGAACGCTCCCCACACATCAGACATACTTGGAAATCTTCAGCTACCCAATTAATGTGATTCCTGAATGTGTAATCTTGCCATATTCTGTAAACACGTCACATCACACACACACACAGTCCACTTCAGGGAACTGCTGCACTCCCTGATGTGCCTGAAGGCTAAAATAACCTCAACAGGGCGAGGAAACACACAGCAGTGCGCTCTCTGGTGGAAGTCTTTGCGTGCAAGACTTCAGGAACAGGCCTCAGTTCCTAGGCGCTCAGCTGCTAGTAAGCACCACATCCTCTTTTCTGTATATCATTTTTAGACATCACTTTAGCACAGAAATCGTGGAAGGCCACTTACATCATTTCCGTAGGCTTCCGCTGGGAGAGACAAGGCGTGCGCGGCCGCGGCAGCCCCCTCCGCACCCTGAGAACCGAAAGAGTTTGTTTGTTTTTTTTAAAGTCCTATTGTAAACCAAAACTAATATATTTGTCAACAGCAGTCTACATTAACAGGTATACATTAACCTCGCGGTCCAGTTGGCAAAAAAAAACATCGTTTTTCGCATTTCCTTTAACTGATTAAAGCCACGCCTCGACGTTTCAGCGGTTGCTGAAGTTGTAACTGCAGTAAAAAGACTTATTCTTTTAAATCACACACACGGTTGGTTATGTCAGTTCCACAACACGGCCGTGTACGGGAACAGCGATGTACACGTGGGGTCACTATTCTCCTGTTCTTTGCGGACCATGACGAAAAAAAGACACAGTTTATACCAGATACAGAGTATATCAGCGGGACCACAAAGAAAAAGAAATACACACAGCTCTATACATGTTTTTTAATCCATATTTTCCTCACCAGAGAATCCAAACCTCCGACCGACGCCATTGCGATGCTCTCTGACCTCTCAACTTTGACCCCCGTCTTACACCGGGGTGGGAGGCGGGTGAAAGAAATGATCTGACATACTTTATTTTTATTCCACATAGCGTCTTTATAAGCGGCTTCTAATGACATGTTAACACGTCTCGCCAACTAGAATTTACAACTGATAAAAAACCCATCGGTTTTGAGTGTTGAATTGCTACAATAAATTGCGTGTTTTAATGTCAATGTGCGCTTACAGGCGTGTCGGTACCTTGCGAGCTCAGTATGGGGATAGTATCGCTACTTGGCACGACGGTTCTTCTTGGTTAATCAAGGTCTAATCGAATTGAATTTTAAAACTTTGTCCGAGGGCTACATCTCGGACAGTCCAGAAGCTCTTTTATATCTACTCTTTGGTTATTTAGGGGGGCATGATTGTTAAAGTACAGGGGGAAATTTGGCCAGGACGCCGGGGTGACACTCCTACTTTTTTCGAGAAACACCCCGGGATTTTTAATGACCACAGAGAGTCAGGACCCCGGTTTTATGTCTCATCCATAGGACGGCGCCTTTTTTTTTTGCAGTCTAGTGTCCCCGTCACTATACTGGGGCATAAGAACCCACACAGACCACAGGGTGAGCGCCCCCTACTGGCCCCACTAACACCTCTTCCAGCAGCAACCTTAGTCTTTCCCAGGAGGTCTCCCATCCAGGTACTGACCAGGCTCACACCTGCTGAGCTTCAGTAGGTGTCTAGTTGCGACCAAATATGATACATTTATCCATTTTTGTCAATAACGAAATATTTAAAGCGGAATTTAGAGGACAAACGGATAAATGCAGTGGGGTTTCGTCTAATTCCTTAGACATTCGAGAACATATCTTGGATTACAGATACAAGGCCAAAGGGAGTTGCAAACCTACGCAGGGGGCAATTGTGTCTTCCAAAAATCTGGGCTCAAACTACCGTTTGCAAAGGGAAAGTAGTTATCGGTGAGCGCCGCAGTTGAAATGTTTCGTCTTCGCCTGCGTGGCATTGCTTTTTTGAGTGACGACCACTTGGCTGCAAATCTGAATTCTGCTGGTTTTAAAAAAGTGCCTTTTCCCGACGTCTTGCCAGACGAAATGTCATTCAGTGCTCGTGGCGCTAAATGCCCATTAGAGGGCAGCAGAACTCCTTCGACAGACAAACTACGGCGCTCAAATCCTACAGTATGTGGCAATCAGCGGTGCCGGAACTTTTCAGGCTGGAGTGACTGTCCGTCCCTTACATAGGGGTATACCCAAAGTCTTGAAAAGCTTTACATTTTCTATTTTTCCTTTTGTTAATTTGTTGACTGCGCCGCTGCCCTGATTCCAGTCTTTTTGTTTCAGAGGCGAACACACGCAACACACGTCCTCTCCTCCTCCTCAGCCTGTCGGCGCTCGGTCGCTTTTTGTTTTTTTTTGCGGTTCACTCTGCAGCCCAACCATCAGGACCCCCCCGGGCATGTTCGTCACCTGTATCCGGGCCATACCCCCCGAAACAAAATGACATACGTGAACCGAAAAGCTGCCGACTCGAAAGCTCCGTCAGAGGAATTTGTCGGTGGACATGAGCGCTGAATCAGAACACCTTGCATTTCCATTTATAATCACACGCAACGACGGCTTTGCGTGTTGTGACATTTGAAGTATCCCGAGGTGAGCGACAATGTCTTGAGAGGGCAACACTGATGACCTGCCCCTGTCCACTGGTACCAATTGACGAGCGGCAGCTCTGATAGGGCCGGAGTCTCATTACAGCCACCTGCCCGTGTTGCGGCCGTCTTTTTAATCCGGGAATTGGGGAACAAAATCGCTTTATTGCTATGCTCTGTGATAACCGGGAGGACGGCTCTCCGTTTGGTTAATAATATTAAAAAAAGGTGATCTATTTGCTGCGACCTACCAATTTAGTTCTATTTTTGCGACACTTTCATCACCACCGTTTAAAGAATATTCATACTTGCTGTTCTGTTTGTACACGTGCTTACAGATCGCTTGAGGAGACTATCAATGGCTCATAGCACTACTAACAAACCGGAGAAGCCTCTTTCGACTTTATGGGGTATTTCACCGTTTTTTAATTCGATTATAACGAAGTTACGTTTGTGTCTCAAGAAATTAGCGGCCTAAGAAGCTTTCTTGTCCTCGGGGTTCAAGCGTATGAGCAGTTCTTTCTTTCTAGGTTTAACCTTTTTTTAACTATATATATATATAAAAAAAATGCAAAGCTCATCATTTATTTTGTAACGTATCGAAGTCGAGATATGCTACTCTAGTCCGTGAGGAGAGAGGGGGAAAAAACTGAGAGGTCCTTGTTTTACGGAACACAAACTATCCGACCGCGCCAGAGTAACATTTTAAAATGTCGTTTGCCTTCCTTCCCCATACAGGTTGCGAATTGAACGAAAAAGACAGGACGAGCACGTTTGCAACTGACGACTCGAAGCACCAACACCAGTTGGCTCTCAGAACGGTAAGTTTGTCGTCCAAAGCTGGCGGCAACAGGGGAGTGTGTGTGTGTGTGTGTCGCCCGTTTTATTTTACATAATGCAAGGAGAGAAAGGGTGCTGTAATTGAGTTGTGGAGCCCGGTTCGCTGGGGATGTTCACCGACCCTGGCCACTGCCGCTGTCCCGCCCGCAGATGTGCTTGGGAGCCGACGCCAAGGACGAGTTCAACATCGTGGAGCTGGTTTCCAAATCCGAGGACGGCGCCGAGATCCGAGCGGTGCCGCTGGCGACGCTGAAGGCCTCCGCGATGCCCACGGTGAGCGTGTGTGTGGCGACCGCACTGTTTGTTTGAACTTAGGAGCGATTTGGCAATTCAAGTTCACCGTTAGTTCGCGGTTGCTCGTTCCGTGATGCATCGCTCGTCATAGCCCGTGTGCCAGTGTACTAATGTTTGCCAGGGGGTGCACATGAAAGGCTTACTCTGCAGAGGAGAAATTACAGAAGCCTGTTGACCCAGACAGCCCAACTTTGGGGAAAAATTGATTTCAGGGAGGGAGGGGAGGGAGGGGAGGGGTCGTCTCTCTCTTGAAAACGTGCAGACCGGGGCTCCCTCTTGAAATAAATCACAGCTATATAATTAAATCATTCGCTGATCGATACTATAATATATAAATGCAATACACTTTAAATAATGTAACTCACCAGTCCAGTTGAATAATATCACCTTCTTTGCAAACTTGCGTTATACAGAGATGCGGCTTTGTTTAGCAGATTTTGAGAAATATTTGGGAGCTGGGGGCGATTTCCGGGAGATTATGGATCACTTGGAGGGGTAAGGGAGGAGACGCCGATTTCTGGGGGACTCCCGGACCTTCCCGACCGTGAATCGGTCCGGTTACACGGTGCCCGTGTTGCGTGTGGGTGTCAAGGCTGGGAAGCTCCTCCAGCCCTTCCGAGAGGTTGTGTACGATGTCCCTTGTCTTTCAGGTCAACCTGTCTGGCATCGACCTCATCCCGCCCGTGACCTTCAGGCTGAAGACCGGCTCGGGGCCGGTGTATGTGAGCGGAGAGCACGTTGCGTGTAAGTCGCCGCCGTGCGCACGCAGCCGTGACAGGTTTAAAACACACAGAGCTGGCCGTGGTGTTGGGGGGGGTCGTTTCGCAGGTGAGACTGTGAGGACGCAGAGCACATCGCTGTGTAGCGGCGCTTCAGACGTCTGTGCGAGTGCACAAGAGAAGATTCCTATATCTGCATGGGGTGCTCGCTGGGCTTGAGTGCGTCCCGGCGTTTTGTAAACCTTCTAAAGCACACGTAACACGTTTGGTACTGTTAGCAATGCTGGAGGTGCAACACTTAATTTGCCCAAATATATCTGTAGCGACGAAAGTGTACTGTGACCTGTTTAAAAGGCGAGATGCTTGGCTGACTTGTTCCAGCCTCCTCCAATCCTTTGTGTAAAGCAGATTGGGGAAATTTATATAGTTGCCTTTTGAGTTTCGACCATGTTCCACAGTCCAGAAAGGGGGAGCAGTCCTACCAAAATGAGGGCCCCTGTTCTTGGTGGCTATACAGCATATTTTGACTCTCGGGGCACATGGACTCAGACACAAACACACACTCGGCTCCAGACCAGTTCTCACAGAAGCCAACAAGCTCAACAGTAAGTTTTTGGTCTGTGGGAGGAAACCGGAGCACCTGGAGGAAATCCGTGTGAGCAGGAGAACATGCAAACTCCCCACATAGTATCCCAGGCTGGGACTTGAACCTGGGGCCACAGCTCTGTGAGGCAGCAGACAACCAGCCACTGTTGCCCTGGCCTGAAGAGGTGTCTTCGGTAAGGTGTTGTGGTCCCTTCTTTGTGGGTTTTTACCGATTTTCCCTTTTCTAATGCTTCTTCAGTGGAAGATGATTACTCATTCGATGAGGACATGGAAGAGGAGGAAGAGGAGGAGGAGGAAGAGGTGATTGAAGAATCGCCCCCCAAGCCTGTGAAGCCTGCCCGTAAGAATACAGGGGCGGGCAAGGTGGGTATTCTTATATTCCTCACAAGTGGAGGCGTAGCGGAGCTCGTTCGCGCGCGGTGACGTCATCGCCCTCCCTGCGCGCAGCAGGGCCCTCAGCCGCCTGGGCTGGGGGGGGTCTCCTTTAGCTCGCTCGGCCGGCTCCCCGGTGCGTTACGCGGGGGTCCCGGGCTCGCGCCCCAGGTGTGGCGGGGTGGAGCGGCGGAGGGCACGAGCCCGCGCGGAACCGCAACGGTCACAAAAAGAGACGATTCATTACCCTCTTCTCGCACGTGAAGAGTTGGGAGTTGGTGGACAGGCGCCAAACCTCCCTGTCGGGTCTTGGCAGAGACGGGTTCTCCCTCCTGTTCGACTGCCACTGACCCGACTGCTCCAGTGGAAGGCGAAGTGTTCGCCAGTGGGTGAAGGAGACTGTGAAACCAGGAGCGTGTGCAGGATGCCAAGCCTGCTGCCCTGCGCGGCACCCGGGCTCCTCTTGAACACCCTGCTTGCAGAGGGCGCCGCTGGCACAGCTGGCCTGTGAAGGACTGTGCGGAAATGAGGGTCCATCTTGTGGCGTTGCGATCTAAAATGGGTCAGTCTTAGTTTCTGTAATTCAGAACTCCTTTTGTTTTTTAAACCTTGGAAAGCAGTTCATCAGGTCATTGGCTAATGTTACCTAGCGCGTTCACTTAAGAGTAGTGGGCTATCAAATGTTCCATTGCTGCCCTTAAACCTCTAATACTCTCATAAGCATCTAATACTTTAGTTTGATCAAAATGTTCCGCTTACTAGATAAGCATCTTTGAAGAGGCAGGGTGCGGTGAGGGACCATTCGTGCTCGGGGCTGATTCTGGGGGCTTCTGTCTTGCAGAGGAAGAAGCCAGAGAAAGGCGAGGAGGAGGAAGAGTGAGTGTGCCAGCTGGTGTCTGCCTCCCGCTTGTGTTGTAACCCTGCCCTCTCTGCCAGTGGTTCCCAGCACTGGTCCAGAGGGTACCCCTCAGTCATCTTTGTCTCCTGTTTGAGCCGAGTTAATTGCAGGAAAAAAGGATTTTAATTTGAGACATATTGTTAAATTGGCTTTCAGCTCTTAAGGTATCTGTAAGGAATATGCAATGGATCGGCCTTGTGTTGATGTCTGAGTTTGAGCCCAGGCAGGCTGTACCTACAGTACGTACTAAAGGTTGCACTGTTCTCATTTTAAGGCACATCGTGTTTCATCCAGAAAGCAATTGTTTGATCTGTATTAGACCCCGAGTGGGGGTTCTGCGCATCAGTATACATATGAAATCTTCAGCATTAACATGATAAAAAAAATCTATGAATTAAACAAATCCAGACTGTTTTGGTTGGATTTTGAGTTATGAGCTATATCCGATTGCATGGAATATGACAACGCTTGCTCAGTGATCTCTTCTTTTCTTGTTGAAGAATTGTTTCGGAAGAGGAGAACAGTCCACCTAAAAAGGTACAGTCCGCTTCATGTAATTTCTATAAAAAAAAACAGCATTTTGATTCGGTCACCACAGCCCTGCTTTAGTGAGTCATTGGTGGATTTAGAATGAAAGAACATGAGAGAGAGGAAGTCATGTGGCCCTTCTAGCTGGTGTGGTAGATAATTGATCCCCGGTTCTCATCCCGACACTTCCAGAAAGAAACCTGGGTTTTGGCCTCAGGGACGTGGCTGGGCAGCTTGTTCCACACTCCCACCAGCCCTGCGGCGGTCTTAACGCGCTTCTATGCAGTTCCCACTAATGACCCCAAGATTGTTTCCCTGTTGATCCTGAAGATGTCCTGAGCTGTCCTCATTTGCACTCTTGAGGTTTTTGAACAATTGGTTCAAAGTGTGGATCTGAATGTCCCCTTTTAAGAAGCCTTGATAGTCGGATTAGTTTAGCCTGAGAAGCGTATGCAATATTGAACCACCGTCTGCCCACTGTTCGTGGAGGGTGCGGGTCTCTAGTGGGTGAAGCTCCTGTGGACCTGGGGTTGGGGGGGGGGCATTCGCTCCCACAGTCTTGCGGCTCAGCACATGCTGGTGGATCTTCGGAGGAGGTTTGAAGTCCAATTTTTTTTTGTCTTCCTTACTCCTCTTCAGGGAAGGGGGAGAGGAAGAAAGCCAGCTGCCAAGAAGTAGATCACCAGCCAGCTCCTGGAGGTAATGGGCGCTTTAGTCTTGGAAGGGGGGCTGGGAGGCATTTTAAAAACAAACCAGGTCCTTGTCTGTTCTCTTTCTCCGTGGTGCAGTGGGACCCCAGCATCTTTCATGGTAAATTTTTGGTGCCGACAGTTAACCCAGATTCCCAGCACAAAGCACACGCTAGATGTCCCTTTCATACCAAACAGACCAGTAGTCCGCCTGATGAATGTGGCTTCACAGAACCTGTTCCACGCGCTCAGACGGCCATTTCTCTTTCTTCTAGGTGCAGTTCACGGAGGGAGAGCCCTTGGGGAACACCACGCATGTTGTAAATAGGTTTTTGATATGAGGTCATAGCGGAGCCTCGGCTGTTTTTGCCATTTCTCCTGATGGGATATTTGATTTTGTTTTATCAGAGTGGACCGCAGAGCACTGGGGGCGGGGGCAATGGGAGCCTGCAGTTAGTCTGTTTAGCGGAGGGCACAGTGGGCCGTCTGAGCAGGATTGCTCAGGGGCTAATAAAGCGATCTTCTTGGGATGCGTGTCGCCCACCTTCTTCCTTTCCAAAGCCTCCAGCAGCCTGGAGCAGCGGCTCAGGGGCTCCTGTTTGCTTCTTGAATGTTACTGTTTTCTGTTGTACCATTTGCCTGCAACGCTTCTTCAAATCGCTGTTGAAAAGGCTCTACAGGGGGAAGTACCCAGGTATTGTTCAGTCAAGCTGTGGATCAGGGTACAGGGATAAATATTTGATGGTAGAAGGTTTAAAGGACACTCGGTTCCTAAGGGTCTGGGGTCTTGTGGAAGTAATTCCTGTATTTTCGACTAGCTCCTCTAAACATTGAGTACAATGTACATGCATGAGTTCTCTGCTTTTCTTTGAAAACATGCTAAAAGATCATGTGGATGAGGTGTTAACCCTGGGGTCTCGTCTAAACTGTGCTGTGGGCGATAGCAACGTCCTGCTGCTTGGCCTGATCTGGTGAAACAGAGCTGCTGGAGCAGAATGGTGCTGTCGCCCAGGTGGGGGCAGCTCTTTACTGGGGATGAAAAGAAAGCCCTTATGCTCACATTGGATGAGCTTTTGCCTCTCGCCTATGGAGGGCAGTACTGTGCTTTAAAACTCACGATCTAAAGTCATGTGCCAAAGCAATGCTTTGTAGAACTGCCTTACATTCTGTGCTGTACATTCACAGTTTACACTGTGCTGTAAAGCATCAGTGTTGCTGTAAAAGATTGTGTCCACCTGATTATAAAGCAATATCTCCACGCATGCATGTAAAGACTTCTGTGCTTTTTTTCCCCCCCTTGTACTTTGTACTTGTTAGTACTTGAGCATGGCACATTATCAACAATGGCGTGCAATGAAATGCTTCATACGCTTTCAAGCGCTTGATCTGTGATGAAGCAGGGCTGAAGCGAGCTCCTCCGAGCTGGTGAAAGGGATCTGTAGATGTGCGTGGAACAGCTGCCCAGTCTGCCTCCTTGGTCACTTCATAGCTCAGGATTGGTGTAACAATTCAGGTGGCTGAAGCACAGAGCTGGGCACATGACTGCCACTGACATGCTTTCTAATGAAAAGATTTACACAGTTTTTTTTTCAAACCATATTTCTTTAAAAGTTAGCTTTCTATGAAAGGGGTTAAGTGCACCAGTGGAAATCTCCCTTTGAGGAGGACAACGAGGGCAATAACTGCAAATTCCACTGGGGGGGAGAGAAAATGGAGCAACTTTCTTCTGAAATGTCTGATGGTTCTCCTGTTTTTTTTGTGAAAGGAAGAGGGGAATTGTGGGATGGGCAAGGTAAGATGCTACTTCTCTGTGAAAGTAAACGTCTCCGGTTTTATTCGACCCCCCGCCACGGAGTTGGACTACATCTGATCTTTGACTTCATACTCGGTGTCTAAACCCCCTGTTGGATGACTTTGTCCAGTAAGAACCTGCATTGCCAGACAGCTGTTGGTCAACATCTGGAATTGACTCTTGAGCGTGGGTACCGTGACAAGACTTTCATAGATCTGGTAACGTGCCCTATAGGATGTAAAGTGGGATACATACCAGAAGGCGTGGAACAGATTGGAAATGCCCGTAATTGCAAAAAAAAAAAAAAAACTTTTGCGTGATTAAAATATCACAGACCTGAAGCCCACACTGCTGAAGTGGTGAAGGTGCGCAGTATTGCAGGGGCTGGGCATACAGCACACTCCGAGGTCCGACTTGAAATGAGCACGAGTCCCGCACACAGCTGCGTCTCTCCCATATCCCCTGGGTCTTGTCGTGGCGTCGTGTCCTTAGACAGGCCAGAGGAATGCTGGGAGAGGGGCATCAGCGTGGAGGGGGCGGGTGTCTTTGAGTTGAGCCCCTGTCAGGTTTAAGGCAGGGGGGTGGGTGGGGTCAGGGTTGCGCCTGCTGGGGCCTTTTGAGGAGCTGTGTTTGAAGGTGGGGGGGGGGAGGCTGATGACAGTGCACAGTGGGACAGCGACAGGCGCCCCTGGAGCCTGGCGGAGGCCGTGAGATGGGCCGCTGCCACTCCTGTTAACACGTGTCGAGGTTAAGAAAATAGAAAGGCCAGCAAGCCAGTGTTTGCAGGCCCTGCTGGACTCGAGTGGCTGACAGGCCGTGTGTTTCACTGAGGCAAACATCCCGTTTTGCTGCAGCAAAAAAAGCAAACTTTTTTTTCTTCAATCTGGCATCGGTACACTCTTCAGCTTGTTTCCTACAGATGCCGGGGGCCTGCGTGCGCTCCCTCTCTCCCTCGGCTCAAGCTGCAGCTCGGGATGGCGTGTGTACTGTTCGCGCGGGGGTGTTCGTTTAGCGTGGCTGGGAAGTATCGCTTTGCCACCAGCTGGTGTTGAATTTTTTTTTCACCCCGCAGGTTGGAGTGAGAAGCTGTACTGGCTGTGAAGAAACTGAGAGGTTAATTCCACACGGGAGTGTAGAAAACAAGGCATCATGTTTTACATCAGAGCGTCCCTCAGCTGTGCGGTGTTGGTCCTCGCACCTGGAACAGTCTCGGCAGCTGTAACCTTGCGTCTTTCTTGTCCACGTCTCGGTGTGGAATTAGAAAAGAATTTTTTTTCCCCTTCCCGGTTGGAATAGGGGGAAGGTGTCGTTTTTCAGCTCCTGCTGTTGTTGGGCCTCAGGAGAGAGTACCTCCCCAGGTGTTGCGATCTGGTCGTTCAGGCAGGAAATGCGATTTTACCTCTTGAGTTTTAAATGCCCCTCGTGCCGGTTCTGCTGTTGCTCTGACCTGCTGCGTGAGTAACTCTGGAGCGCGTTGGGGCTGGATTTTAATTTCCTGGAGAGACCTGAAGAAGGTCTTGATGCGCAGTGGAGGAACACAATCGCTTGCCTTCACCACACACTTTCTTCCCCGCTCAGCGGAGTCCATTACAGTAGAGACGGGGCCTGAGAGCAGGGAGAGCCACGAGGGGACAGAGCCTCCTGATCAGCCTCATTGGCTGGCCCTGTGCTTGACCCCCAGTCCCGTGAGCAATGACAGGGAGGACTTGAGGGCTAGTACTTTAACCCACGAAGGCTCTGCAGCTGAAACGTTGTGGTTTTTCTTCTCTTTACAGCATGGAATAAACCTTTACTTGGGAACAAGTAATAGTCTTAAACCTTAACTTGATCCTTTGCAGCCTCCGCGTGCCGATGCGGCTCCTACTGGAACTGCTGGGACTAGAGCCTCGCGGCGCTGCCCTGCCAGCATGTTCCCGCGCGGCGCGCGCTCTGGGGGGGGCGGCGGGTGGCAGATGTACTGGTGTTGAAAGCGCTGTCTCCGCTGCACAAATGGCCGAAGGTGAAGAGGTTAGCGGCGCCGTGATGAAACGGACAGATAAATCAGGAGTGTCCGGCGCCAGGCTGGCCTGGGCCACCTGACGTTTCCTTTCAAAGCGGGAGCAGTCCCGGGACGCCCCTGCGGGCTCGGCCCCCCGTCCCCGCTGGAGCAGGGCCAGGGCCAGGGCGCGGGGAGGGCGTTCGCACCTCGTGAAGTTTTACAACGCCTGCATTTGTCAGCCCCTGTGCTGCTTATTGCCCCCTTTTGATGTGAGCTCAGAGGAGCCGTCCTTTCTTCTGATGGATTGTGGGGAGGGTGTCGCCAGGCCCCCCCCCCGGCCCGGACCCCTTCAGATCCCAGCTCGAGAGTGACGTTGTTGGATGCTGGTGACTTTCTTCTGTCAGGTTCCTCAATCGAATTGAAATATCACCAGTGCCTCTTTGTCTTACTTAATCCCTGCTTGAGGTTTTGCACTGCGAAACTGCGTTTGCCTGCGAGACTGGGATCGCCGAAGGCTGTAGTATGAATCTCCGCAGGAGGCGGAGGGGAAGTTCGGGGCTTTATCCCGAGGGTGATGCTGGTGGCACCTCCTAGGCTGTCCGGGGTGTGATGACGGGTGGTGGCTGCCCCCTAGGGGCAGGACCCTGTAAGTGTCCCTGTGGGGCGTGCAGGTTGAGCTCTGTGGCCTGGAGGGGTCAGGAGTCCCGGGGTCAGGTGGGCACTAGTTAATCAGCGTCGTCGCGACCGGACGCCCGTGGGCTTCCGGTGAGGACTGCAGCTCTCCTCCACAGGGCGGCGCTGTGGAGCTCGCAGCCTGGCGGATGTGGATTGGCTCAGTGGGTGGGCAGCTGGGAGCTGATGGCCCTGTACCCTCTCTGAACGCCAGCCCAGTTCAGCAGCCACAGCTGCGCGCCAAGGCTGTGGGGGGAGTGCAATTCCTGCAGTGAGTCAGGTGCATTCCCTCAAAACGCACTTCCGTAGCGGACGGCTCATGTATGGAAGTGGGACGCGTCCGTGCTGCCGATCCTGGTTTTCCGAGGGGGAGGCAGCGTCTCCTTCGCCCGGCTCTTTCAGTCGCAGGAGTCGCAGTTCAGACGGATCGTGTTTCATCGGGCTGTCGCCCTACCGGAAGAAAACACAAAACCGGGATTGTTGAGCGGAAAACTAATTTGGGAAATGGCTTCTCCGCTCCTGTGAAGTTTGATCTCCTGTGCAGATCACCTGCGCCTGTGCTCTGCCTCCTCCGAGGCTGAAAGCCCCTTCTTGTTTGGGCTGAAAGGGCTTGCTGGGAGGCCAGGCCCCTTGGAGAACACCTCCAGTATCTCACCTGAGCGCCACAGAGAGGCCTTTGTCTGTTTCTGTCCCCCTGGGGGTGTCTGACACTCATGGCCTCCCTCCTCCCTCCCTGTTCCACCAGCTGCCCCTTGTGAGGCCGTGACAGCCCCAGTGGCCCTTCACCAGAGCGGAGGTCACACTCGGACCTGTTCAGCCTGTCATTTTTGCTCCACATGAACAAATAAGATAGAGGGAGATGGCCATGAGGGTGGGATAATGGAGGGGTGGATATATATATATTTTTTTATTGCTCCAGCCGGTGTCGACCTTCAGCTCATCTTGCATGGTTCAGGTGGGCTGTGGGTTAACCAGTGTCCTCTGTGCCGGGGTGACCAGTGAGGTGTCTCTCTGGCATGTCATTGCATTGCGTTTGCAGTGGCTTTAGTGGCGTGATCCTGGTCCACTGTTGTGAAAAGAGCCCATCCTGGGTTTTTTTGTGCAGAACCCTCAGACAGAGTGTGAAGCCATACTGTGACTGTCTCTGTGGGGTTTGCATGTTCTCCCTGTGGCTCGTTCTAGGTCCTCTGCTTTCCTCTCGCTTGCTGATGTGCTGGCTAGGTAAACCAGACTGGTATCCTGTCCTCTGGGAGGGGGTGGCTTTCTGGTGCTGGGTGGGTGGGAGCAACGGCGATTTTCCAATCCTGCCCCTGGTGACCCACACACCTGTTGGTTTTTGTTCCAGCCAAGCTCTCGGTTACAATCAAACCCTGCACTGACGTCATATAAGATGAATTAGAACTTTGTTCCCAGCTCTTAAACGTGTTGGAGCTTTAATCATTTTTTTTTGTGTAAGTGAAATAATATCCCAAACTTGTGCCTAAAAGTAATATGCAAATATATGAAGTGTAAGCTTAGGTCCTGTTGGCGTTTTGTTCAGTTGAGCAGTTTGAAGGGTTCTTGGCTTCAGGTGGTGGCTAGGTTTACGGTACTCCACCTCTCTGCTTTCTGATGGGGTATGGGGCGACAGAGATGAGGAAAGGGGGAGATCAGGAAGTAAGCTTGAGAGGACATGGAGTTGTAAGTGCAGCTGTTCCCCTAATAAAAGGCCAAGAAAAAGAATATCTGTCTCCATCCTGTACTGGCAGAGTGTTGACCACCATCACACGAACTCTACAGTTACAGAAGCATCTTTCTTAGATGAGTTAAGGCTTCGATGATCTA